TGTATTCATTTAAGCACTATTCAAAAGCAAAAAAAAAAAAAAAAGATTGGAACACTTAAACATTCATCAATGTAGTATATGGTATATCCTATAATAGACACTACATGCGGAAAGAAGGAAGTGGCTGTTTACCAAGCTGATTGATATGGAACAATCTCCAAGATACTTTTTAAGTGAAAACAGCAGGGTATAGAGTATACAGTTCTTTTCTTAAATAAAAAATAATTTTAAATTATACTTGTAAAACAGAGGAGAAAATAAATAGACATACACATCTGATTGTGTAGAGTATTTTTCAGGTGGATATATACAAAATTGGCAAAAGAGAGAACCTGGCCAAGGTAGGGAGGAAGGTTTTCACCATACACCCTTTTGTAGCTTTGAATTTTGAATCATGAGAATGCATTATTAAAGAAAGAGAAATCTGTTTAAAGCACCATTTACAATGGCAACAAAAATAGAGGATACCCAGGAATAAAACATGTATAAGACCTTAAAAGAAAAAATTATAAATCAATAAATTTAATGTATTTGAAATAAAAATCCAACAGTTTTTCATGAAATTAAAAAGAAACACCCTCATTTAAAAAATATATATGAGAAAGGAAAGGGCCAAGAAAAGCCAAGACAACTATGAAGTAGAAGGTGAGAGGCCTTCATCTTACTGTAAAAGTGTAATACTGACCAGGATAAACCAAAAGGCCTATGGAAGGAATAAGAGTGATCAGAATTCTGCAGCAGTGTTTTGGGGGAGGGGAACGAGGTGGGTAGAAGAAAAGAGAGGTCAAAGCCAATTCAGTCCAGGCAGTTTGGAGACAGTCAAGTACATTTAGGCAAGTAGTTATTGATGATGGTGATGGCAAATGCTCTTTAGGGGAAGAAAAACAGCTCAAGATCCTGATATGTGATGTTCTGAGGTGGTTCTGAAGCAAGCACAAATACTGAAGGATACACAAATCAGTCATTTCTGACACTACCAATTTTGAAAGGCCACCATCTTAACCCCGTTTTAATGATAATTTTATCATAGGTATGTATCTGTTTATTAGAAATTACTTCTTTTTGATGCTCCTTTTTTGCCTGATAGCATTTTCTTAGTGTTCCACATTAATCAAGATGGTAGGCATGACTGGACATAATTCAACCAGGGGGTCTATGTCAGGCCCCATTTATCTTCTGCTACTTAAGCTAATAATTCCTATTCAGAATTTATAGGGAAGATCACAAAGTCAATTAACTGAAAATTACTTTGACAAAATGATAATGAATGTGAGAAATAATATCTTTGGAAAATAAATCTTAGGAGATTTAATAATTTCTATATGAATATACAAGATGCAGTTCACTGTCAAGTCAAAAACCTTACCCTTTTCAGGCAACTCTGGACCTCTTCCCCTACTTCGGCCCATCCGGTCATTCCTAATTTCACTTCGAGACTCATTTCTGGAATCATTCCTCATTTCAGTGCGAGAACTTTCTTCTCGCAAATGGTTTCTGCCATAACTTCGAGATTCTTCCTGATAGGCATCCTCCTTTCGATGAGCATCTCGGCTCTCACGCTCCCTGTAGTCATGAGCATCACGAGCAGACCGAGAATCTCTGGGATCACGGCTCTCTTTGTTTTCTCTGCTATAGTCTCTCACCTCCCTGGAGTCCCGAATGTCTCTGGAGTCTCTCAGTTCCCGTCGGTCTCTATTATCTCTAGCGTCTCTCCGATCCCGCCCATCTCGAGGTTCTCTGTCATCTCTGTGGTCTCTAGAAGAGCTCTGATCCTGTTCATACTCTCGTTCTTCTCTTGTGTCCTTTTCTCTATCCCTTTTGCCTCTAGTCTCTGTAATGCAATTTTAGAAATACACCGAAATTTCTTTCACAAAATTTTAGGAAACTAGGCAATGTATTTAGTACAGAGCTTTAAAATTTTTATTACGATGGTAATTCGTGTTCTTTGCAAAAAATAAAAGGAGAAAACATGAACAAGTAAGAAAATTAAAACCATCCATAAGCTAAAATTCCAAAGGTAATTTTATTAACACCTGGACAACTATGATCTTGGTTGAATAAACTTCTGAACATGTCTTCCCCACCACAACTTACCCATACTTATAGATCTTAAATAACTGAAACAAGTACATTGATTTCCTATCAATGATGGCTTACTTTTTAGAGATCACTTTTACACCCAGAGACACACAGTGATTTTAGTCATCTCTACCACGTATCGGCCACCCATGACCACTTCAAATGTACTTAAGCACTTGGGAGTAGCCTACAGTTAGTAAGATGGCTGACAAAGAGATGCTGTTATACACTCTCTCTTTTTTTTTTTTTTTTTTGAGCTGTTTAATAGAATCATACTGACTATAAAGTTTTTCTCTACTTAATGCATTTTCTAATCTGTCATAGAAAAACAAAATAATTTCAGTTTTTAAAAAGCTGGAATGACCCTCAATGATTATTTAATACAATTCTGTCATTGTATAAATGAAGAAACAGAAACCCAGAGCTTAAATGGTTTAGTCAGCCCCATACATCACGGAAATTTGCAAAGATTACAACTTATTCTTTAGATACACCTAGAAGAGTACAGATTGGTTACAGCATAATCTGATATGAAGTCAAAGAATTAACAAGAGACCCTCAAAGAGCAAATCATATACTTTTTATCAGACTCCTTCATAATTTGCTCTTACACTCTGGAATTGCCCTGAGGTCTGAAGCCATTTTAGCAACTGCAGCAGCTTTATGCCTAGGACATTATAAACTTACCCCCTTTTCTCTTTGTCCTTAGTGGCTAGGTCCACAGACTTTCTCTATATAGTATCCACAAGACCCCCTAGATTCTCATCAATAATTTATCTCCCCTGCCAATAACCTTGCCTATAGCACTAGGCAGGAATGTGACAAGTCTCCATCTCTTTTTGTGCATATCTATCACTTCTAGTCCTCCTCCAATGCCAACTGTGCCTAGAAATTTGTTCACTTAGTGCCAGACTCTTTTTTTATGATGCTCCCTGCTACCTTTACAAATACATCTAGTTACTATACCTTCTTCTTTACCTACCTTCCCATCCTTCCACTAAAATTATTCTTATTTCAAAAAAAAAGACATCAAAATAGAGAGGAATAAACACCTACTGCATGTCTTGTATGATTAAAGAAACATCTTCCTTACAAAGAACCTAAACACAGTAAATAAATAATATCCAGGAAGGAAGAGCCAAATCTGTTTATTATTAAAGGATTCTTCCTATAACAAAAAGAATTCCTACAAGACTCGACTGAATACTAAATTTCCCCGTCATTAATAATTATGTTCTCAAATAGTAAAGAGTATTCATTCAATAAGTAGTCACTAAATGTATACTATAATCCTAGTCAATTCTAGTTAATAAATAGTTGAGAGAATTTTCCCATCTTACCAATGTTCCATAAACACTGCTGTGCTGATCTGATTCCGAAATCATGTACATAAGGAGTAATTCTCTAAAACAGGTGCTCTCTCCAGTCCCTACCTATGTATCCATCATTTCTTGAATAAAATAACTTGATTAATTATTGCTTGCACTATTGATTGGAAGAGAATAACTAAGTTCAACATGTTTCATAAGAGATGGCTGTACTATACCCACAGAGGCTTTAAAAATGCATATTAAACAGAAGTGTTGTTGCAAATAAGTATTTCCTGAGTACTCATTATGTTCAAAAACTAACTCAGGAGAAGTTAGGAAAAAAACTTGTTAACTTATATAAACAAGAGCAAGAAGCTTAGAGAAGTACAGAAAGAGATGAGAACTGTTAGATGGGATCTCCAAGTAATAATAGCATCTCAGGTTGAACAGGGAGTAGCAATTCCAGAGTTCCCTTAATTCTCAGGGAGCTAGGAAGAAACACTGCTTTACTTACTTCTTTACTGAGTTACACCTGGAAAACTGATCACTTAGTTCGTACTGACCTTCTGAAGATTACCCCAGCCCTCACCTCTTGTCGAAACATTTCTGACGCACTCACACGCTGCCCCCATGGTTTGCTGCTCTTCTTTCCTGCATCTCTATTGTTTTCAAAGAATGAGCTAAGCAATTAGCGTGACTCTAAGAATCAGACAGCCCCAAATTTCTAGGACTTGAGAGTACTCAAGTAAAACATCATAACTAAAGAAAGCACCAACTTAGTATACAAATACTTACATGTATTTAGCAGCTTACATTTCCATGTTAAGCACCTCCTATTGCCCTCAAGAAATCTCATACGCATGATACAGAAGACTTAATATAACACAGTTCTCTTCTACCCTTATTCTAACAATAAACCTCAATGTCCAATTTTTTAATAAAGAAAATATCCACTTAAAGAATTCTAAAAAAAGTCACAATAAAGTACAGTACTTACCCTCCCTCCTTTCATGGCGCCGATCATGAGACTGTGAAGTCCGTTCGTGATCGTGCCTCCCTTTCTCTCTCATTGGAGAGCGATGTCTTGGGGGACTTTGCTTTCTCTGAGGAGAAGACAGAGAATGTGAAGGGTAGGGAGAAGCAGAGCGGCGTAAAGGTGGAGTTATTGTCCTTTGGTAAGACGGTGAAGGAGTTCTTTTTCGGCGAGGAGAAGGAGAATGTCTCTGAATGGATGATCCTGATTGTGAGGAAGATGAGTGATGTCTAGAAGATATAGGAGAATGGTGCGGTCCTGCTGGGGAAGTAGACCTATGAAGAAAAACAACAATTTAAACAAATGTGTTCAAGAACCTTCATTTCTAGCCAAACGAAAACCTCCTTTAAAAACAAAACAAAAAAATGAATGTAAAAGTTAACGCTAAAAGTGTGAATAATAATTCCAGGATAAGTTTTAATTCACCATGATGTAAAATCTTTTATATGTTGATTTTTAAGTTAGCTTGACGCACCAGTTCTGGATGAGACATGAGACATGCCTTGCCCTTCTCCTGAGCTCTGGCTCCAAGGCACGCTTCCTTTTCCAGGCTACATTCTCCCTGAGCACAAATGGTCTTACTCTCATATAAAGTAGGGAATTCACTCTTACCAGAGATCATGGCTGACAGTGTGAATAGGTACTTGGGGAAGGGAACCCACAAAGAGCTAACGAGAAAGTATTTCCAGTCCACTCTAAATAGAAAGTGGCTATAATGAACCTTGCAAATCAGGGCTGTGGGAGAAGGGAAAAGCAATCACCAGTTAAGCCGAACCTAAAGTCTGCACTGCCTGGGTCGAAATTTAGGATGGGGGAAGAACGCTAGGGCTAAGAAAAGGACATACTGTCTATACTGTATTTATCTTAAATAAACTGCATTTACTCTTGCTTGGGCAGCACAAACTGAGATTTAGTTCATAAGCTTTGGTTTAACTAAGGCTTCCTCTACTCCCTTAAAATCACCTTCTTTCACTGCTGCCAAATAACTTATAACCTCATGAAGCACATCTGAATCACTCCTACAATCTGTTATATCCTGGCTCTGTCTATAGTGAACATGCAAAAGGTGTGTGTGATGGAGAGCTAGAATACACACATTCATGCAATAACTAAAAAGAAACAGGACTATTGTTTAAAAAACATTCCAGACATCACACTCAGGTAAGTATCGTATTTCTCAAAGCAATCATTTCGAGGGCTAGATGTTTGTTCAAAAAAAATTCTGAGTTCCTCTCAAAGTATTTTAGAATTGTCTTCAGTGCCTCTGATAAGTGTCTGTTAAGATCTGCAATGTTGGCAAAATCATTATTAATACCAAGCCAGGATTTCTCAGTCTTGGCACTACTGACATTTTGTATTCATGAATCCTTTGTGGTGGGGGCGGCCCTGCACATTGTAGGGTGTTAAACAGCACTTCCGGCCTCTCCCCACTAGCAGCTAGTACCTCTCCCTCCCGCCCCCATTCATGACAATAAAAAATTACTCTAGGTATTTCCAAATGTCCCCAGGGAGGTGAAATCAAAGTTGGTTGAGAACCACTGCCCTGAACTATGCTGCTTATAAATGATGCCTTAGGACTTCTAACAGTCAAAGTTTTAAATCTATAAAACACATGTTACTATCAGGAAAGGGATCCAACATACTGGAAAGAATTTTGCAAAACAAGAAATTAAGCAAGTAAATGAAAACACCTTTTGGATAACAGTAAAATTAAAAGCCAGCTAACGAGAACACCACATTTACCTAAGCATTCTAGTTATCTGTGATTCCACAAAACCTTCATGCTTTTAATAAAAACTGTTATTCCCTTCTCATATTAAAAAAAAAAGACATAAACCACTATAACTTAATTGACTCCAAGTTGAAATTTACTGACTTACAGATATGAGCAGAAATGCTCAATGAGTCTTACTTAAATTTGAAAACCATTTATGATCAATGGCTATTCAAATCACTGAACAGAAAAATCATCACCAGATTGAGAAATTCTAATTCTAATCTGACTATTGTTTGGTGATTTCCCATTTTAATTTCACTAGGTTCTAGTCAAGTTGGAATACCTAAATTTATAAAATAAAGAATGTTGCTCTCCACTGAACTGACATGTGGTTAGTTTTGAGTTTATTTCTGGGATATACTCAAAATTGTTTCAAGAATGTCTACAATACCCTTTGGTAATCTGTTCACAAAACTTAAATACAATAGTTCATAATACTATCTTTAAAAAACACATTACAGTCCAATCACATATCTATTCAAATTTGGTGTCTACAGCATGGAAGAAAAACTTCAGTTCAAGCTTAGATAACCAAATTATCATATTAAAGCCAGAGCTTCAATGTGTTGTCAAGTTGTATTTTCAGCATTTTAACCATATTTTTTTTCCTACCTATCCTTCAAGGAAAAAAATTAAAAGTTTAATTGCTAATTTAATTATCTGTTACTAGATGGATGTTTGTGTCCCCTCAAATTTATATGTTGAGGCTCTGGCTGTCTGAAGGTGGGGCCTATGGGCTTAATTAGGTTTAGGTGAAGTCTTGAGGGTGGGGCTGCCATCATGGGATTAGTGTCCTTACAGGAAGAGGAAGAGACCAGAGCTCTCACCTCTATGAGGACACAGTGGGAAGACAGCCATCTATGAATCAAGAAGGGGACCCTCACCCGGAACCAAATCTGCTGGCTCCTTGACCCTGGGCTTCCCAGGTGCTAGACCTGTGAGAAATAAATGTCTGTTATTTAAACAACCTAGTCTATGATATTCTGTAGTAGCAGTCCAAGTTGACTAAGGAAGACAGCATCTTTACATTTTCTTCTGTTACAATCCTTTTAAAAGTCTAAAGACTGAAGAATAGTGAAAAGAGAAAGAGAATCTGTTACCAAAACAAGACAGATCAAATTACAGATGTAAGCCTAACTGGACCCAGACCTACATTCACTTGCACGTGTAGAAGGTGTGACTCTAAATAATTAAACTGTCCTGAAATCTGACCCAAATTACTTAGGCTTCTAGACTGTTGCAGAGATACATTAAAATACATTTCTACTTAGAATAGCAGTAATTTCAGATTAACTAGTCTTATGCTCTAAAATTAGCTGGTTTCCTATCTGAGGGGAAAAAAGAGTTGACATTCGGAATTCAAATAAAGAACAAAAAGTCATTTAAAAGTCCACAAATGATAAATTCTGGGGAGGATGTGGAGAAAAGGGAATGTTGGTGGGAATATAGTTTGGTGCAGCCATTATGGAAAACAGTATGGAGATTCCTTTAAAAAACTAAAAATAGACTTACCATATGATCCAGCAGTCCCATTCCTGGGCATATATCTGGAGGGAACTTTAATTCAAAAAGATACAAGTATCCCAATGTTCATGGCTGCACTATTTACAAGAGCCAAGACATGGAAACAACCTACATGTCCATCGACAGATGACTGGATAAAGAAGTTGTGGTGTATTTATACAATGGAATACTACTCAGCCATAAAAAAGAATAAAATAATGCCATTTGCAACAACATGGATGGACCTGGAGACTGTCATTCTAAGTGAAATAAGCCAGAAACAAAAAGAAAAATACCATATGATATCACTTACATGTAGAATCTAAAAAAAACAAGAACAAAAACACAAATGAATGTATTTACAAAACAGAAACAGATTCACAGACATAGAAAACAAACTGACAGTTACCAGGGGGGCGGGGGGGGGGAGTGGGAAGGGATAAACTGGGAGTTCAAAATCTGCAGATATTAACTACTATATATAAAATGGATAAACAGCAAGTTTCTACTGTATAGCACAGAGAACTATATTTAATATCTTGTAGTAACCTATAATGAAAAAGAATATGAAAAGGAATATATGTATGTATATGTATGACTGAAACATTATGCTGTACACCAGAAATTGATGCTACATTTTAAACTGACTATACTTCAATAAAAATAAATTTTTTAAAGGAAAACAAATAACAAAGGAAAGCTTATTGCACAAAGAGAAGCCTCAATACCTTAAAACAGAAATCTGTATACTGTCAGCAAGGGCACTGTGATTTATAAAACATAGGGAAAACTGATCTTTAGCCTGACTTGATTCCAATCAAAAGCTTTTTAATGCTGCCATAATTAGGATATGATGTGGAATGAGAATATTCAGAGTATAATTCACTTTGGAAAGAAATATGAAAAGTTAAGAAATTTAAAATCAAAGATCCTTTCATTCAAGATGCAAGTAATTTCATCTATAAATCATTAAGTTTACCCTGGACTTTCTTAAAATTTGTAACACCAATTTTTCTCTCGATAAACAGTTTCTATTTCTCAAATATGAAAATACGCTTACATAATATAACATTCGTAATTCAACCTTTAAAATCATCACGCAAAAAACATACTTTAAAAAAAACTAGTTGGGTATGGACACTATCAAAATCAACTCTATTTTCAGTGGTAAAATATAACACATGATACACACTTCACACTCAGAATATCTGAGACAGAGAGGACTGAAAATCAGTCTGCCTTGATTGCAAGAGTCCTGAAGTAGCTCATCAACAGTAGAGAAAGACAATTTCAGCTAATTCATGCAACATAGAAGTCCATAAAACAAGAGTAATGAAATATAAACTGTTAGGTCCAAAATAAAAAAGTACATCAGGGGGACTACAGTAGGTTGCTTGGTAAGGAAAGGGTCTTTACTGAGAAGATGATATTTGAGCCAAGAACTGAAAATCCAAGAGAAGAGCTTCCCATGCTGAGGACTCAGTAATCACAAATGAGGCAGGAGGGGATGGTGATATACAACAAGAACAGAAAGAAGACAAGTGTAACTACAATTTGTGAGAGAATAAAAAGTCTTATGCGAGAGGGCAGGAAAGCAGACAGAGGATATAGAGTCTTCTAGGTCATGATATAGTTCATGTTTATTCTAAGTATAAAAGAAATCACTGGAGAGTTTTGGGTAGGGAAGTGTCATTCAAAACCTAGTGATATCTTACTTGCTTAAATAAATATGTAAGATGGAGAAAGAAAATGCTTCTGCATGGTGATTTGTTTTAGACCTAGTAGCTTGCTGTCCCTTTGCAGCAGGTGATAAATACTCCCCGGAAGGGGAATCATTTCTAACTGAATGACCTACGGAAACCAGAATACTTCTTTTGTCTGTGGCAATCTTCTGAAAGGTGTCTCCTCCATAAGTAAGTGGTACTTGAAAAACAGGACTGATTCAAGCAAACTAATAAGAAGTTTCACATAATACAAGTAAATCTAAGCCAAGTG